CCGGGATCATCTGAAGGACTTTCTGGTGAATGAAAGTCAGGACTGGCTCTTTTCTTTGGGGGAGAAGGATGCAGGTGTCAAGAAACACATGGATGGGCACTGTGGTGTCCACAGATCCCACAATGGTTAAACGAGTGATCTCCATACAGGTTCTGATTATGAAAATAGCTGTGACAATTGGTTTGTCAGATGAATATCACTATTGTAACTGGCAACAGACTTTCAGTCATTCTGAGTTATTCATGAACTGTCACTCAATGAAGTAGCATTCATCTTGCTGCTCCCAAACTCCAAGAACCGGATGCACGCAGAAGCTGTATCCTCAATTGATTCGGACAGACCAGTAAAGTTTGAAGCAAAATAAGACATGACAGCAGGGGTGCCCTGGTTGTAAAAAGAGACCTTTAAAATATGCAAAAGTCAACATTAGTCATTTCATGAAATTCACCAGCACTGAAATAATTTCATTCACAATACTGAGTATCTTGGTGTTGTTTGAAATGTTCCATCAGTGCAAATGTATGTAACCTGTACCATGCTACCAAACAGTTGCACCTTAGACCATTTTGCTCCATCCAACCTACTGAGACAAGTCCCAAGACACTGACAGCAGCACTGGGACTCAGCTTGGCTCTAATGTGTCTGACCACATATCCTTGTTGTCTCTCCCTGTCATACGCCAGCACACCAATATGTTCCCAGGTAGATGTAGTGTTTTGGGGGAGGGGGGTTTGGACACTCAGAATGTAGTACACTGCCTCTGTCTGGGTATGCGCAAAAACATTTAAATCCTTTCCCATGTAAGCTTGCCAAGTTTCAATACAGCACCAGCACAACTATGAAAACATGGAACAGCCTTATACCATCAGTCTACTAGCTCTAAATTGCTGCAGAGCTCCTTGGTTTCATGCACAGAAGACATCCTTTCTCTGGAGAACTTTGGGTTATTCAATCTGGTAGCCTTGTGAGGAAGGAGATTTAAATGTCTGTGTCCAGAAAAGGTGCTTTGTGTAAAAAAATTTTTTTTTTCTGTGATCATTCACTGGATCCAGCAATGGACAAGCAGAAACATAGACACTTCTTTTTAATGAGTTGGGTCCAGAAAACAACACAGAAGCTGCAGGGAACATTGTTTTAAAAGTCTGAAAGCTTAAAACATGGTGCAGATGGGTAAAGGGCTCCTGCCTTCCTTCCCTGTGCCATTTTCCCAACCTGAAATAGACCCAAGGTGTGTGTGTGTAGAGGAATTATTTGCCTCATTTTGGAGCTGCACATGCACAGAATACTACACATGCAGCTCCAACATGTGGCAAATCACTCCCCAGGGCTTGGGAAAATAGTGCAAGGAGAAAAGGCAGGAGCCCTTCTTTCTCCCTGTGAAGCTGAATCAGGCTCCGCAAACTTTTAAAATGAGTCTGGACCTGCTTAATTAATTCTTTCTATAGTCTGGCACTTGTCCAAGCAGAACTGTGCTAAGATCTTGTGTAATACCTAATACGTGAGACCAAGATCTTGTGTAATACTGCTTTCCTCCCTATTATCTTACTGTGTCCAGAAACTTCTTGAAGTTTGGGATATGCTGTTTAACTTTGCGCAGTGGGCTATTGTGAGGTCCCCACCCCAACACTTCTGCTTTTGCAATGACCCTAGTGCAGGTGGAAATCTTCTGACCAATTCAAACTGATCACCCAACCCCTTTACTAGGCATTTATCAGGCTCATCTCCATAACCCAGCAATATGTAGTGTACTTCTTTAATCTTCCTGCTCTGCAAATAATAAAAGCCTCGAAGCCTCAATCTGCATATGATACTACATAATTTGGTAAGGGGCCACAATGCAACGTGTATATACATAGTGATGAGAGGGAAATAATTTCACCTTTTAATCTAAAAATCTAGCTACTTTTTGGGGTGTGCACATTCAGTTGTAATAACTGAAAACAACCCATTTCTGGTTATCTGAATCAATCACGAATCCCACCAGCCAGTGTGAGAATAAGAGCAGTGTAGTGTAGTGGTCAGAGTGTTAGATGACGACCTGGGAGAGCCAGGTTGGAGTCCCTACTCTGCTGTGGAAGCCTGCTGGGTGAAATTGGGTGAAGCTTGCCAGTCACATACACTCAGCCTAACCTTGTTCTAAGAATAAAATGGAAATGAGAACCATGTAAGTTGCTTTGTGTCCCCACTGGGGAGAAATGTAAATGAAGTAAGATAAATAATTTTGTATTTCACTCATGGTGAGATTGCTAACATCCCTGGTTTCAGATGCAGCTGCTCCAACAAGAAAGGGGCTGAATCCATATCACTCCTTGATGTTTTGTTTTGATTAGTGGGATTTCTGTTTTGCTTGGAGTGCTAGGGATGCAGTGGATTGGTATGGAAATTACACGCACCATTTACATGTGTGATTGATGCCATCAAGCAAACTTCTTTAGTATGTTACTGAGAAAAGGGAAGAAGAGGGACAGTAAAACATATCACAAAGTAGAATTTAATTATACAGCTGCTTACCAAAGAATTGTTACCATCACTGTAGATCAAGAATCCTGCATACTCGATTTGTCTTCTGCGGTAGTTTTGGTTAAAAGGTGGAACATAGGTCAAGGCAACTGACCTCACAGCTATTACATAGGGATCACTAAGTTTAATAGAAACAGTGTTACCATCAAATTCCACCAAACTGCCACCAATACCGTTTTCCATTTTGAAGATGATTTAGGATCTCTGAAGACAATAATTGCTCAGTTTTTGTTTTTGGTGTATTTAAGCATGTTTGGACTTTGCAGTGAACAGAATGTTGTCATTGTTTTTTTGTTTTGTTTATGAGATGCCCTATTGGTAAAAATGAGGAGCGGCAACAATTTCTCATGCACAGAGGCATTCAAGAAGGAAATTCTTTACATCTTTCCTCTCCCCCTCATCATGCTTCCTCTCTTAGGTCCATTGAATTGGCTTCCAAATGAATCTAACTCTTGTAATTAATGCAGCTGCTGCCACAAAGACCTTGGCCCTTGAATTCCCCAGGTCTGAGCACCCACAAAGAGACCAGCAATGGAAATGGTTCACAGGTGTATCCAGCAATCAATGCTACAAATTGGTTAGTCCAGAAAAAACACACACATCCAACCCAATCTTCTAGCCGCAATTTCCTTACACCTTTGCAGAGAAAGTGGAAAGACACTTGTGCAAAGTGAGTAAACAGTGCTGCTTAAGCTAGGAACTCCTGCCAAGTTTCAAGTATAAATATGAATTTCTTATTGGAAGCTGTCAAAAGTAAACTTTGAAGTATTAGGTATGATATAGCTTTCTGGAATATGTGATTCATTCTTACAAGGACAGTTCTTTGATGCTAACTACTCAGCAAGCCTGTGCGAGTCCCAAATATTTAAGGAAAACAATTATTTTACCAGGATTCTTAAATAATGTAATTACTGTTGTGTTGGTTTCTAGTAAAAAGTTATGGCTTGTGGATTATTTTCTATACTTACCCAGTCTTACAGGGTTTTCTTCGAGATACAAGAATTAAAAAATCATTAGACTTATTTCCATTAACTGATGGGGATGTAATGGAGTATATTTTGTCATCTTCTGTTATGTTCTGCACAATTCTAGAAGTTCTGCACATAAAAGCAGCATAGAAATGGAGTTGAGTATCAAAGGACACTTTTTATGATCTAAATTGGGGCTGGAATGGTACAGGGTCTGGTCAGATTAAAGAAATACTGAAGCTGGGCTGTAGATCTTCTTGGCTGAGCTTATACCTCAAGTGACTTGGCTTCTAGCAGATAGCGCAGCAGAACAAGAAAGAAGAACATAAGGAAAAGAGAGAGGCAGTTTAATTAAACCTACTTCTATTAGGCTGCCTAACTAGTTCTGCAATGTCTCTGTTTCTCCATCTACCCCACTTTTAAATGCCTTTCTGGTACAAATTTTAAAATATATTTTATATATACTTGAGAGTTATCATACTGTATTGTAGCAATAACAGTTTCCCTACGTTTATATTGATTATTTAAACCGTACTATGTTCAGTTTGTTACTTGGTACAAAACAGGAACCAAGTTAATAATTCTGAAATCTTTTAATACCATTTGGGCCAATGCAATGCTCTTAGCTCTGGTTACTTTGGAGGAGCCACAGGGAAGAACCATTCTTAACTAATCTATTTCCTTACTTGCTTAATGTCATTAAGGCATTGGTAAGAAACCTGTCTTATTTTGGCATGTAACATTTGGGAGCAAGTAGCCCAGTTTCTGAAAGAGTGCAGACCTAAGAACACTTTCCTTGGGAGTAAGCCCCCATTTGAATGAATAGAACTGAGTAGGATTCTGACAAGGCCTGCTTAGGATCACACAGTAAGACTGAGACCATTTAATCATTCAATTCTCTGACCCTTAATCTCAGCCCATATCTGCAGGAATTTCCTAAAATGTGTTTTTGACAACACAGTCAAATTGTATCTTACGGATGACAATTTTTAGAATATCCTGACATCTGTATGGATTTGGCTTAGATCATTTCTGTTTCCAGGAAATCGAACAACAGTTATTGGTTCCTAAAATGGTTATGCACATCCTTAGATAAAAGACTGAAGTATTTTCCTTGCCACCGAACAAGCGTTCTTGCTTCCTAGCCAATCCATTAATCACAAGATTCTTCTTGTTTTACTCAATAGGGTTTTTTATATGAACTATTTCTGTACACCTTACATAATCATCTTTACTGGCATCCTCATTTCCTCACTGAAATGTTACTTAAAATTCTTTGACAAGTTATTTTTTCTTAATAATGTCTATCAGGAATACTTTAAAAGTGATAATGAGATCTGGCAATGGCTTAGAAATAGTCATGCTTACAAACAGTATTTGTCCCAATGTGCCTGGAGTGTGAAGTCAGACAAAAGGGAAAAGGCTAATTCTGAAGGTATTCGTACTTGCATTTCAACCTTGATTGCCACAGCACCTTCCTCTAGAGTGAATATTTTAATCTGAAACAAAAGTCATATGTGTTTTTAAAACCACAATTCTAAATTCAAATGAAAAAAATAGCAATGTTTATTTTTAAAACGATTACAATGTTTAAAAGGTTTCAGATCATTGGCTATATATTACAATATGCCTCATAGGTTTTAAGACAAATGCTGCTAACTGAACATAAGTTAGTAACTTTATTGGTAAAGGGGGCAGATATAATTGCAGTAGAAGTACTAGGATACAAGACACAGAAGGGTAATTGTGTGCAGAAAGATAAAACAGAAGTGAAGATGAAATGTTTGATGCAATTCTGCTGTAGGTGGAAGAAGGAGTGCAGCAGTGCTAGAAACAAAGTCTGTGTCCAGTGGAACCTTTAAGACCAACGAAGTTTAATTCTGGCTATAAGCTTTTGTGGGCATGTATGAAACTTATACCCAGAATTAAACGTTGTTGGTCTTAAAGGTCTTTGTTCTGTTGCATCAGACCAACACAGCTACCTACCTGAATCTATCTCAGTGGTAGAAACAGTTATATCATTGTATCTAGAGCTGATAATGTAAAGGAGTTATGGTACAGATATAGAGTACCATGAACCAGAAAAAATAGAATGGGTTCAGTGTTTTGTATAATCTGATGCAATGTGCTCTACTTGGGGCTACCCTTGAAGACTATTAGGAAATTGCAGCTAGTGCACTGTGGCCAGAGTGCTGGTCTGGGCCAGCTGATTGGGATCAGTTGACCCCCAACTGCTACTACACAATTACACTGGCTACCCATCTCCTCCTGAGCCCAATTCAAGGTATTGGTTTTTACCTTTAAAGCCTTACGTGGCTTGGGACCAGGGTATCCGAAAGACCTTCTTCCATATGTTCCTGCCCAAGAATTAAGATCACCTGGTGAGGCCCTCCTAACCATCCCATCAAACAAAGAACCTTGTTTGGTGGCAACCCCATAAGTATGGAAGAAGCTCCCCAGGGAGGTATGTCTGGTCCCCTCACTTTTGATCCTTTGGAAGCAGTTGAGGATGGTGTTATTTATGACCACATTTGCTTACGTTAGTCCTAAATTGTGATGTTAAATTTTGTTTTTTATGTATTCTATCTTACGTATTTTATCTATCAAGGCGTAAGCCACCTTGAGCTCCAGAATGAGGAAAGTCAGCTAATAAGTGTTTTAAATAAATAAATAAGCCCTGTGCCTTATCCTCTGTGATCTGGTTTTCTTATTTAAATCATGTAGCACACTTGTTTCATCTACTTATACAAGTGAAGCAGATTTTAAAAAAACAACCTAATTTTGAAGGCTTACAGTGAACAGTTTGGATTCTGTGCACATGAATTGCATGGAATGCAATAAGGTTTTCAATAAAGTTTAATGAACATTCTGTGCAGGTTTGGAGCTTTACCTCATGCAGTTTTTACTAACATAAATGGGAATTAATATATTTACACTAGCCCTTTTCATGCAACCCCTTTAATAATTGCATAGAACAATCACATTCCGATTACATGAAATTACTTTTGCTTTAGGTCATATGAAAAAAAGATTCACAGGAACTGCAATGTATGCCAATTTCAAGCACATGTCAAAGAGGTCACAGCATATTCCTAAAAGGAATTACACCCGTCTAAGGTCACTGAAGTCAATGGGCTTAGAAAGGTGTAGCTATGTTTACGATCGCAGGGCTAAGTACTTTAATCACAGAGGATTCCAGATTTGTTTTCTTGAAAAAAGGAGCCACACTTAGAAATTAAAGTATATTTGTGTCACGTCCTGGTAAAACAAGACTTCCAGGTGGCTGAGTAGTTGTCACTAATTCTATCACAAACACTGGAATTTGCAAACAAATGAGTGTATCTACAGTTTAAAAGCAGTCTGAAAAGTGCTGAGATCTTCTAAAATAGTTAAAATGACTTCTAGGCCTCCTGTTTGTAACAGCAGCCCAGAACTAAAGTGTTGGGCTTTTTTAGTTGTTACTCCCCTACCCTTCAATGACTGCTTAAGTGGTTTGTTGCTGGAAGATGTGTTATGAATAGCAAGTTGCTGGCACTGATCATGACTGCCCACATGACAGTGTTTTGTTATGATTTTGCATTTTATTTATGAGAGACATACAGATTCACGTTAATTCCTCTAGAATGGCAGGAATTTTCGTGTAGTTCTCCCATTCATTACTTACAGTCTAGAGTTCTAGTTACTTTCCATCCAGGTTTTGCTGCCATTATAGTCAATGCTGCAATATTGCTGTTGATTATGTTTTCCTGAAATGTAGGATATGACAATAATCATTAACAGAAAATACAATTGCTTCAATTGCTTCTAATTTCCACAGTTTCAATCTAGGCTTACCTTTGAATCCTACCTAATAACCAAAAGAATGCAAATTAAGGGGAACTAATTAATGCTTCACTTATCAGTTAAACTACAGAGAGTTGTGATGACCCAAAGACATAATTCAGCCAAACTCTCTCCAAAGGAATCCTTTCTGTGTGTCTGTGAAACTTAACTGGGCTCTGATAGAGTCATAAGAGCCAGGAATGCAGTAATTTGATTAGAAACCCTATTGGGGTATGAAGAAAATCAAAACTTGGGTGCAGACAGGGCATGGACAATAATTGAAAGATTTGTAAGTACCACATCTCACCTTACAGTTGAGGGATTCAAGGTAGGAAATTTACCTAATAGAAACCTATGCTACAGGAAAATAAACTAATGACATCATGTGGTTTTAAGATGTAAATGGATTATAAAATGCAAGAACATCCTTCTTTGTTTTGGAGGTGTAGTACAGGTTCAGTAATGAGCAGTACCACCAATCCAAGCTGAAGAGATCTTTTGATAGAAGAGTCATTAAGCAATTCAGAGAAGTACATGTGTTTTAATCTTTTCTGTGCTTTGAGTTAGATTTGCATAAGAATGATTTTACCCCTTAATTACAGATTTGTGTGTGTGTAAAGTCTAAGTGACGTCAATATTCATGTAGATGATGCCTTGCCATGGCTGGCCCAGGATTATATACATTCTTTTACTGCTTTGGGTGTTTGTCAAATCATGACAGGCCCAACACCAGGGCTGCTGAGAGCCACTATGGGCCCCCAAACAATGATTCCATCTGGACCCCTCAGATGACCCTGATCCAAACCAAATATCGTAACAAAACAAATCACTTACCTGGCTGTTACCATGCATTTATAATAATAAAAGGACTGACATTGTTTAACATATCATTTTAATATTTATGCTTTGTTCAGATTTCTGCTGGGTTTCAAAATTCCACAATCCTAATGCTATTACATTGCTTTTTGGATGTCTCATCCTGTTGATTGCACTGTGCTACACTGAGCCTCAGTGAAAAAGGTGCTCTATAAATATCGTAAAATTATTTACCCTGGGAGTGGCAAATAGGAAAATAAGGCAACCTTTCACTGCTTCTTTATTTGCTGTCTCTACCACTTGGTAGAAATGGAGATGAAGTGCTGACTAGAAATTATACAACGTAGACCTGCTTAATTTTCACATTTAGGATCACTGATATACAACTCTACCAGAGGCTTCTACTGGTAGGGGTATTCTATTTATTGCATTATTTTAAATAATCATTATTCTTTTTAAGATGGCGAATGAGCAACAGCACTTAAAAATATCAGTGAGCAGATACCTGACTTTGTACCTTTAAATAATAACTGTCTTTCTATTATCCACAAATTAAATGAGCTTTTAAAATTGGTTCGCCTTGCCTTCCCCTTTTACTAGCAACTCCCAGTGTGCCCCTGTTGTGGGTTGGGGGATAAGAACATAAGAACATTTCTGCTGGATCAGAACAATGGTCCATCTAGTCCAGCATCCTCTCTCAAACAGTGGCCAGTCAGCTCCTCTAGAGGTCCAACAACAGGGTATAGAGGCGGAGGCCTTCACTTCATGTTGTCTCCTGGCACTGGGATTCAGAAGTTGACTGTCACCATGGCTAGTAGACACTGATAGCCCTATCCTCCATGAATCTGTCTAGTCCCCTTTTAAAGCTGTCTATGCCTGCGGCCATCACTACGTCCTCTGGCAACAGTTCCACAGTTTAATCATTCTCTTTGTCAACTCTCTCTACCTCATGCAAAAAATTTTAAAACTCTATCACATCCCCCTTTAGTCTTCTCTTTTTTGAGTTCCAGTATTCTGGGAGAGAAAAAATTCTCTTTGTCAACTCTCTCTACCTCATGCAAAAAATTTTAAAACTCTATCACATCCCCCTTTAGTCTAAACTGAAAAGTCCCAAATTCTTCAGCCTCTTCTCATAGGGAATAGGGAAGGTGCTCCAACCCTCTAATCATCTTGGTTGTCCTCTCCTGTTCCTTTTCTAGCTCCGAGATGTCCTTTTTGAGATATGGTGACCAGAACCGTACCCAGTATTACAAATGAGGCTCCACCATAGATCTTTTTATAGGTGCATTATACTATTGGCAGTTTTATTTTCAATCCCTTTCTTAATAATCCCTAACACAGAGTTTACCTTTTTCACTGCTGCAGCATGCTGGGTTGACACTTTCACTGAGCTGTCTACTATGACTTCGATATCTTTTTCCATCTCAGTCTCAGCAAGTTCAGACTCCACTAGCCTGTACTTGAAGTTGGGATTTCTTGTCCCAATGCACATCATCAACACTGAACTTCATTTGCCACATTGTTGCCCCCACACCCAATTGGTGGAGACCTTTCTGAAGGATCAAAGTGCCATGCAACATTGGAGTGAAAATAAGGTGGAGAAATCAGGCAAAATGGTCCCCCAATTGATTCTGGCTGTAGCAGAATTAGATGCTGTCAGGTTCCACAGCAAGTAACTCTTTACACACGTTTCCTAGGAAGCGTTATGCTTTATTAGTGTACAAGACTGGTACCATGTCCACAGGATTATTGTTAGGAATAACTAGAAGGCGGGAACATCCCAATACATATAGCTGGGCAAGGCAAGTAGCTAAGCAAATGAACTTCGAGCGCGCACGCGGGAAGACTCCCGGCGGGAGATTACATAATGAGCAGGAGAGTCGCAGGGTTTCCTGAGAGCAAAAAAAGTCACACCAAATGTGGACCCCAAGCCCTCCCTACTTCACAAGGCCAGACTGATAATGGCGTCTAGTTCCCACGGCCTCCCCGGCATGTTTACAACAAGCTGCGGAGCTGCAAGCAAGCGGGAACAGGGAAGGGTAAACAACACAGATATGGCAGCTAGCTGACAGATGCAATATTTTTTTCTGTTAAATGCACAATGATACATATTTCTTCAAATTATAATGACGTTACCTGGTTGATTTTGTCCCAGGGATCAGGGATGCGATCAACTTCCTTCGTCAAGAGAACACATTTCCTGCAGTTGATATTATGTGAAGAAGAAGGCCAAAAATGAACTATTTATTTATTTATTTATTTGATTACATTTATAGCCCACCCTACCCGCAAGCGGGCTCAGGGCGGCTCACATTGTTTGGCCCAACGTGCCAAGATTCATATAAACATTTAAAACATTTAAAACCATTTAAACAAACAATAATTTTCAATTAAAGTGCACACAAGTTATTAAAGCAAGATGGCATGCCATATAATGCAGGAACTCTGCAGCCTTAAAAAAAAGTTCTTATGCTATAAATTCTTTTATATAAATTCTCATTTATAGCATTCTACCTCTTCCAAATAAAAGTTTAAGCTAAACCAAGTATTTAGTTCTCACAATTTATCACAATGAAGTCACTACATTTTTCTGTAATAATGAGACATAGGGTTGCCAGGTCCTTTCCAGAAATTGACTATATCTGTGCAGACAACTAAAATCTGGGGATGAAGGGTGCATGAGCCTTGTTTACTAGTCCAACCCTGATCTTTGTACATTGGTTTACTCTTTTGCAGAGATTCTGTGTGTCTACAAGCTATAAATGCATAGGTTTTGTCAGAGATATAAGGACCTGGAAAAAACAGGAAACATTCATAAAAAAATAGAAAAATTGAAAAATATAGGGAAACACTGAAAAGAAACTCCTATGAAATATTTTCTCTTTTAGAAAGACAAAATTCTTCTTAAGGCCAGAGTTTTCACACTCAAAATGAATAGAATGAAAAAAGTCTTAAGTATATCCCTGCAACACTTAGACTAAGGCCGAGTTCAGACTGGCAATTTGAAGCGCTAGGGAGTTGTGGCAAGGGAGTTGCGACAGACTGGGAATGGCTTGTTCGCGGTGGTTGTGACAGACCGGGAATGGCTTGTTTGCTGTATTCCCGTTCACACTGCAGCGAATGAAGCAGGAGGATACCGTGGAGGAAGCGCAAGGGAGCGTTCGCACTGTTGGCCCGCCCCTGGCAGGCTGTTAGTGGCTGTTTCTGGGCTCTGCTGCATGCGCCTATGCACATGGGCGCCTGCCGCGGAATCAGCCAGCGCCTATTATCAATGACTGCGGGTTGTTCCCACCTAGCAGCGTTTGTGTTCATACATCAGGGAACCGGAATCAACCCGCTCTACACACGGTTTGCTACCACTTTCACCTGGTACTTTTTAAACTTGGGAGGGAAGCAGCACAAGACGGCTAGAGTATGGCTGGGGGATGCCTGACAGATGTGCCTGTGTGAACCTGCCCCTTTAATCCGCTACTGAAACGCTCCTGAAACATTTGGCTGCCGGGCCAAACTGCCAGTCTGAACTCGGCCTAATATAATATTACAACAATGTTCCAATTGCCAATTAAAAAAAAAGAACAACTGAAAAAGCACCAGTGGTCCCAGGGAGCATAGGGGGACTGGGAAAGGGAAACTACAGGGAAATCTGCCATGTGGAAGCCCTGCTGCCACTGTGCTGTATTGGCAGCCTCAGCAACAGTGGGAAAACTACATAAGTCTGTCCCCTATGTGGAAAACAACAACAGCGTAAGAAGACTTCTATCACAACACAGATGAAAAGCAACATCAGGGAAAGATATAAACGTGTTGGATCTGCTGCAAATCCCAACAGGCACTGCCCCACCATTATAATTTCCACGGAGGTGAAGATCCCTGAACCTGTTCAAGATAATGTGTAGTGATTTAGATTCAAGTCCAGTAGCACCTTAAAGACCAATCAGATTTTGGGGGCATATCTGATGAAGGGGAACTCTCGAAAGCTCATCCCACCAAAATCCTGTTGGTCTCCAAAGTGCTACTGGACTCATATCTAGTTTTTCTACTGCAGACCAACACAGTTCCCCCCCGAAACTATTATAGTGCTGCTGTAACTCAATAGGACTTATAGATAATTCAAGAATACCACTCCTATGTGCTGAATATTTTCATATTTTCTTTATCTGCACAGGGCTTTTAAATACTCTGAAGTAATAATATAAGATGTAATCAATTAACTTTCTATCAGGAATTTCTCACGAGCGACATCATTTCTAAAAACTGCAGGGTTTCAGAAATCAAACAAGATCAGTTGTTGAACAACTGAGAAATATTTTCTGTTGTACTGTTAATAGTATTTTTAAAATTCATATTATGCTTGAGGTTTACCTGGCTAATCGAATTCTCTTGCGGGCAACAGCTTCACGGTACCTTCTTAAACCATCCTTTGTAACAAGCAAAGTTGTTTAAAAAAAATCAGTATTGTGTATTTTTAAATAACTTTGTTTAAAATAAACATAATCACAGCTCTCTAATATTCAGAATAAATAACAGCTGGGAGCAACTAAAACTTTGCTAATGGAAATAATTTAGGATGATGCTATCCTTCTAAATAACCTGTTCAAATTAACTACTGAGCAAAGTGTAACTCTGGTTTCTCCTAGCAGTACAGCTCTACAAGGATTTTCACTTGAGAAGTCAGTCCTTAAATCACTGTATTCCATGTAAAATAATAACAGAATGTATTATAGAACCAGTGCTCAAGGAAATCAATAAAATGAGAATAAAAGAGACTTGCTGGATCTGACCAGTGGTCCATCTACTCCGGCATCTTACAGAGTCAAGACAGATGCCCCAGAGGATGACTGAGGCAAACTTTATCCCTGTTGTTTCCCTCAGTAACTATTATTCAGCGGTATACTGCCTCTAGAGATGGAGATTAATTTAGCCATCATGGGTAATAACCACCGATGGACCCATCCTCAAAGAATTTGTCCCTATAAGTTGATACAATTATAAAATCACCTTATAACCTTGTTTAAATCACATCTGCAGCTAGTCTATAAATATAACAGTTGAGTATCTGATGGACTAATCTATATACATTTCTCTTTCTATTAAAAAAAGAATTCACCTTCGTAGTAGACTTGACTCTGGGAAACATAAAAAGCTCGCCATTTCCTTGTATAGCATTAAAAATGAAAAATGCACTGTTAATATGTCTTGCGTGGCCTTTGCCCCATTCTTCACAGTTGTAGGCCTCAACACGAACTCCGACCTCAACACTAAAGCAAAAAATAATAATATTGTATCATATTTATAACATATGTATAATGTAACAATTTGCAACACTGATACAGAAGTCCATTATAATGTTATACAGAGAAGCTGCTTTGGGGGAAAACTTGCTTAAGTCAGTGATACTGACACTATTACTATCAAAATTCATATGCTGCTAGATGAACTGTTAATAATGTTATTGTACAGAAGTACATTTTATGTTGTTGTTTTTTTGCTTTTGAGACAAGCTTAAAATGTTGGCCATTCTCAAAAACCAGGAAATTGCTAAATAAGTCTGTCCAGGGTCAGAAACAGGGCTTCTGTGTTCTGCCTCTCCCAGTTAAGCAGAAATAATACATTATCCAAATAAGCAAAATATGAAAATTTCCTAATCTCTGAAGGTTAGAGAATTTGTCTTATTTTAATGCAGCACAGACACAGCTCTTATCACAGTTGTGAAGAATGTTGTCAAACCACACTGCCACATTGCAAATGGACATTGATAGCTGCAAGTAAAAAACCAGTGCTGGTGCTAAGGTGCAGAGATAGAAATCATAGAGTAACAGATTTGTATGCTGATCTTAATATTTAGACAGAATAGACTTTACAGAATTTCAAAAAATGAACAAGGGAAAAAGCAGATTCTCCAGGTCAAGATCTTTATACCCTGTCTGCTCAGCCTTTGGTATTAGATGCTGACAGTCTCACAGTTTAATTTTTGTAGTCCATTGAATTCTGAGAAGGAGAAGGAAGAGAAGGAGAAGAAGTAGCAGCAGCAAACAATAGGAGGGTCATCTCATTTGAAAGTCCAGCAAACCCCAAACAGAACCCTTTGGGATAACCAGAATCGGACAGCCAAACAAGCTGCAGCAATTGCTTGGAGGGAGGCACCATGACAAATGAATGGCAGCATGTCTGTAAGTATGGCTAGGAAGAGGAGCCCTTCGGTTTTCTGGCAACAGCGTGCCCATGAGAACAGATTACTTCATAAGAGCCTGGTGGTCTGGAAGATGCCTGCAGGGATTGCTGCATGGGTTTTATAAGAGGCAGTCGAGGAAGATGTGCTCAGTTCCCCGTTCCAGTTGACTGAGAGGAAGAGACAACCTGGGTGCCAGCACACCTCTTCCTTTTTAATATCTGAGGCCTTTGGAAAGAAGAAAAGACTAGCATGTTGCATATTACCACAGCAAAGGGAAAAGCATCATGGTCCCTGTCCAATTAGGGCTTTAAAAGCAAATAACAGCACTGAATCATGATCTGATGAGAACTCACAGTCAGTGCCAGGTGCTTCAAAACTAGTGAGGTACATTTTTGTGACGAGATGTCAGTCAACAGCCTAGCTGTTGCATACTGTACAATAACACCAGAGGGGATTTCAGGGGATTCCATCCACAAATAAGCTGAAATATCATTCTCTACTTAGCATTCTTATCAACTGACCTGACCTCAATCTACTGTCTCTCATCCAACCTATTATTTCCTTTCTGCACCTAAGCAGAATATCCACTATCTCATCTGATTCTGCTGAACAGCATAAACCATGCTGGGTGCCAACAGCATACTGATGGGTTCTTGCTCTAAATCTCTAGGTGACCTGTCCCAAAGGATGCACATAGATGTTTTAAAAAGCAGAAGCAATGGGCGAGATTTGTGAAGGATCCCATAGCACTAGTGTCACAGGATCAAGCAGGAGATTCTGGTAAACAGAATGTTTGCAACTAATCAGATGTATACAACCAATATGCAATAGTTGTTAAGGTCAAGGTCAAGGCTCACCACTGCCTCCTTTAAGATAACTGGAATGCCAATCTCATTCTAAGAAGCTCTCTGTCACGGCTGGGGAGTCCCCAAGGCTGGGGCTGGAGAGGGTCAGGCTCCAAAGCGTCAGATTCTTGAATGGAGCTTGGCCTCAGATTGAAGATATGGAGGGGGTTTCGTCACCTCTGGTTCACCGTGTACTTCCACTCTCCTCTATTTGCGAGTTTTCCCCAAAGGGTCTCTTTCTCTCTCTATAGCCCATTACTCATCTGTCATAGAGACTGAGGAGGATTCTCCCTGGCTGGTGTCTCTCTCTCTTAAATCCTCCCGCCCCGCTCCTGCCCCTCCTTCTTTCCCTTCAGAGTAGAGTGGCCACAGGATTGGCCACTTCACCAATCCCATTGGTATGCTCCCATCCTTCCTCTTCCCAGTTGGGCCAACATCACTGGTGGGGTCCCTCTGGCTGGTCAACAGGGCAGGAGACCTGGTCCCCCTGGATATCTCCCTTGGCCGCCTCCTGGCATCTGAAGGTAGGTATCCCATAGCCCTTGGACACTTCAACCTGGGCCGGGCCCATCTGGTGCGGCCCTCACTGGTTTGCCTGTGTACTCCCTCTAGGTGTGTTCTCATTGGGTCAGGTTCCTGGACTCCCGCGGGCTCAGGTAGGAGTAGCAGGAGGTGGTCTAGAGACTTCCCCTCCTGACACTCTCACTGAGTCTTGAACCCAGCTGGTCACACTTCCTTGGAATGCGGACAGAAACCAAGGTGGACAAAGGTTAACACAGCCAAAATCACATATCTTCTAGAAACTTGTCCATATTATCTTCCATATTGTCCTTGGCAACTGGAATTTATCTGTGTAACGGTAACTTGAAATAGCACTCTAATAGCATTATGTGACTGATTTGTCTCCATCTGATTGCAGAATAATAATGCTCTTGCACTGCCAAGGATTATAGTGGGGAAAGGATCAGGGTTTCACACCCGAACATGTTTTGCATATTGCCTCTTCAGCCACACACCTTCTGTTTTAAGCTCTAGGTCTACATATATTCTGGATTCAGTCCCCAACAGGTTTAAAAGGAAGGGGTGGGGGGAAAGTCACATTGTAATGTGCATATATAGTGGGATGTGCATATAAGTGACTACAAACTATAGTACTGCCAGACAACAAATATAGAGATATTCTTGATTTGAATGAGATTTTTTTAAACTACCAGTGGTATCCTAAGTAGAATTACACCTTCTAATGTCCACTGACATCTGCTTAAGGATGGCATTGTATTTTTATATTATTACTGCAATCTGATAAGAAAAATAAATTTCTGAAATAATAAAATACTTTGCATAACAGAGCAACACAAAAGTAGTGTGGTAACATACAGAGATAAGCTTATTACCTTTTATGAAAAGTATTGTTCACTATAGCATTGAAGACAAGGCGGTCACCCACGGTTGAAGGTCCCCGGAATTTAAACATATCTACAGATTTCAAAGTTGGATGAAAACGACTCAGGCGACTGAATGGAAATGGCAAAAAGGAAAGCAAAATAAATATAACTTTGTTTGTATCAGTGCAACTGTGTACAAAACTGAAAAGAAGTGTAGTCTTCTGTGTATATATGGATGTTTGCAATGCTATCCCTTGTCGAACCTTCACCCAGTAATATGGATGAAAGGTGGGGATAATGTTTACTACATAAAGTGAGAAAATCAGTGGGGAAGGGCAGCTTGTGTGAGAAATTCCAGCATCAGCATCACTAGTGCCAACTGGGAAAGAGACACTGGCATAGGAATTGATTTAATAAGTTACCTTGGGGGCATGGGATCCAACCAACGAGAAGCAACAGTCAGGCTGCTTGGGCAATATATCAATTAAACCTCTACCTACTGACATCCTTAGATTTTAGATGTGTTCCTCTCTGATCTCAAAGTGATTTTTGTCTTATAATAGAATGTTTGCAAGAATGGCAATTTAAGCATGCACTTTGCAGAACTGTGTGACCATACAAGTTACTGCATTTTTATATTCTGGAAAAAGAGTCCTAAACCGTGTATTATATGTGAAAATTCTCCTAAGTTCCTCTATAGGTTTATTTTAAATGTATTAGTCTTTGTGGCAAAAAGAGAGCATTGCTGTTTTGTTGTTCTAGGACTGAAATCTGTTCCTAACCTTTGTTTAGCTTAGAGATAACAGTGTTTTGGACCATTATTTATTGTTAGCCTTAATTCAATTACAGGAAGAGGAGCTCTTTGGTTTTCTGGCAACAGCGTGCCCATGAGAACAGATTACTTCATAAGAGCCTGGTGGTCTGGAAGATGCCTGCAGGGATTGCTGCATGGGTTTTATAAGAGGCAGTCGAGGAAGATGTGCTCAGTTCCCCGTTCCAGTTGACTGAGAGGAAGAGACAACCTGGGTGCCAGCACACCTCTTCCTTTTTAATATCTGAGGCCTTTGGAAAGAAGAAAAGACTAGCATGTTGCATATTACCACAGCAAAGGGAAAAGCATCATGGTCCCTGTCCAATTAGGGCTTTAAAAGCAAATAACAGCACTGAATCATGATCTGATGAGAACTCACAGTCAGTGCCAGGTGCTTCAAAACTAGTGAGCTACATTTTTGTGACGAGATGTCAGTCAACAGCCTAGCTGTTGCATACTGTACAATAACACCAGAGGGGATTTCAGGGGATTCCGTCCACAAATAAGCTGAAATATCATTCTCTACTTAGCATTCTTATCAACTGACCTGACCTCAATCTACTGTCTCTCATCCAACCTATTATTTCCTTTCTGCACCTAAGCAGAATATCCACTATCTCATCTGATTCTGCTGAACAGCATAAACCATGCTGGGTGCCAACAGCATACTGATGGGCTCTTGCTCTACATCTCTAGGTGACCTCTTCCAAAGGATGCACGTAGATGTTTTAAAAAGCAGAAGCAATGGGTGAGATTTGTGAAGGATCCCATAGCACCAGTGTCACAGCATCAAGCAGGAGATTCTGGTAAACAGAATGTTTGCAACTAATCAGATGTATACAACCAATATGCAATAGTTGTTAAGGTCAAGGTCAAGGCTCACCACTGCCTCCTTTAAGATAACTGGAATGCCAATCTCATTCTAAGAAGCTCTCTGTCACGGCTGGGGAGTCCCCAAGGCTGGGGCTGGAGAGGGTCAGGCTCCAAAGCGTCAGATTCTTGAATGGAGCTTGGCCTCAGATTGAAGATATGGAGGGGGTTTCGTCACCTCTGGTTCACCGTGTACTTCCACTCTCCTCTATTTGCGAGTTTTCCCCAAAGGGTCTCTTTCTCTCTCTATAGCCCATTACTCATCTGTCATAGAGACTGAGGAGGATTCTCCCTGGCTGGTGTCTCTCTCTCTTAAATCCTCCCGCCCCGCTCCTGCCCCTCCTTCTTTCCCTTCAGAGTAGAGTGGCCACAGGATTGGCCACTTCACCAATCCCATTGGTATGCTCCCATCCTTCCTCTTCCCAGTTGGGCCAACATCACTGGTGGGGTCCCTCTGGCTGGTCAACAGGGCAGGAGACCTGGTCCCCCTGGATATCTCCCTTGGCCTCCTTCTGGCATCTGAAGGTAGGTATCCCGTAGCCCCTGGACACTTCAACCTGGGTCGGGCCCATCTGGTGCGGCCCTCACCGGTTTGCCTGTGTACTCCCTCTAGGTGTACTCTCATTGGGTCAGGTTCCTGGATTCCCGGGGGGTCAGGTAGGAGCAGCAGGAGGTGGTCTAGGGACTTCCCCTCCTGACACTCTCACTGAGTCTTGAACCCAGCTGGTCACACTTCCTTGGAATGCGGACAGAAACCAAGGTGGACAAAGGTTAACACAGCCAAAATCACATATCTTCTAGAAACTTGTCCATATTATCTTCCATATTGTCCTCGGCAACTGGAATTTATCTGTGTAACGGTAACTTGAAATAGCACTCTAATAGCATTATGTGACTGATTTGTCTCCATCTGATTGCAGAATAATAATGCTCTTGCACTGCCAAGGATTATAGTGGGGAAAGGATCAGGGTTTCACACCCGAACATGTTTTGCATATTGCCTCTTCTGCCACACACCTTCTATTTTAAGCGCTAGGTCTACATATATTCTGGATTCAGTCACCAACAGGTTTAAAAGGAAGGGGGGGGAGTCACATTGTAATGTGCATGTATAATGGGATGTGCATATAAGTGACTACAAACTATAGTACTGCCAGACAACAAATATAGAGATATTCTTGATTTGAATGAGATTTTTTTAAACTACCAGTGCTATCCTAAGGAGAATTACACCTTCTAATGTCCACTGACATCTGCTTAAGGATGGCATTGTATTTTTATATTATTACTGCAATCTGATAAGAAAAATAAAATTCTGAAATAATAAAATACTTTGCATAACAGAGCAACACAAAAGTAGTGTGGTAACATACAGAGATAAGCTTATTACCTTTTATGAAAAGTATTGTTCACTATAGCATTGAAAACAAGGCGGTCACCCACGGTTGAAGGTCCCCGGAATTTAAACATATCTACAGATTTCAAAGTTGGATGAAAACGACTCAGGCGACTGAATGGAAATGGCAAAAAGGAAAGCAAAATAAATATAACTTTGTTTGTATCAGTGCAACTGTGTACAAAACTGAAAAGAAGTGTAGTCTTCTGTGTATATATGGATGTTTGCAATGCTATCCCTTGTCGAACCTTCACCCAGTAATATGGATGAAAGGTGGGGATAATGTTTACTACATAAAGTGCGAAAATCAGTGGGGAAGGGCAGCTTGTGTGAGAAATTCCAGCATCAGCATCACTAGTGCCAACTGGGAAAGAGACACTGGCACAGGAATTAATTTAATAAGTTACCTTGGGGGCATGGGATCCAACCAACGAGAAGCAACAGTCAGGCTGCTTGGGCAATATATCAATTAAACCTCCACCTACTGACATCCTTAGATTTTAGATGTGTTCCTCTCTGATCTCAAAGTGATTTTTGTCTTATAATAGAATGTTTGCAAGAATGGCAATTTAAGCATGCACTTTGCAGAACTGTGTGACCATACAAGTTACTGCATTTTTATATTCTGGAAAAAGAGTCCTAAAACTATAGAGTCTACTTTTTATATTCTGGAAAAAGAGTCCTAAACCGTGTATTATATGTGAAAATTCTCCTAAGTTCCTCTATAGGTTTATTTTAAATGTATTAGTCTTTGTGGCAAAAAGAGAGCATTGCTGTTTTGTTGTTCTAGGACTGAAATCTGTTCCTAACCTTTGTTTAGCTTAGAGATAACAGTGTTTTGGACCATTATTTATTGTTAGCCTTAATTCAATTACACTTTATGATGTACCAGAATTGTTAACCGTGCACAATTATCTGTTTCTAATTAATTGAATTGTGCATCTTTATAATGCATTCAAATTACTTTGGTTTTTCATTAGGAATAATTTGCTCCTCCTATTTAAATTGCTAAATATCTCATTTGCAACACTCACAATAAAGACACAAGCAGATTAATCTCAAGAATGAAGAGGGGAATGTTGCAATTCCCCTCTCCCCCACTGTTAAGCTTGGTCTAAGAGACCTAATACTGTTTTACGAAAAAGGTAAGTCTTCTATAGTTTTATGATTGGGCTACAATTATCCAAAAGTCCAGATCTTGTTCCAGAGTGTTTCCAGTGAGCCCTGGCTTTAAGCTACTTGCTCGGTTTCATAATATTTAAAAGAAGATACAAACTTTAGAAAAATCTTTCTGAGCGTATTTTCAGTTTGTTCTTTGAGTAGTGCTTGTTTTTATAAACCTCATTTTCATTCCTTGTAAGCCTGTAGCCATAGCAACTCTAACTGGCACCTTCAAAGGTCAAATCTAATTGTGAGTTGTTTTACAAAATGTTTCCAGCTAGGTCAGCTATTTCTCAAGCAGAATAGACAGTTCACTGTCACCATTTAGCATTGTCTCGACTTCATTTCAGAATTTTCAACCTCAACTTTATGCTTATAACTTTCAGTCCTCCATCTTAGCTAGACCGGATTGCTAGAAAGTATTTGCAGAGTTTGATATGACTTTTTATTGCAAATAAATCTAATACCCCATTTTGCTGGACTATATGATGGTGTTTTGGAACTACACACACACACACACACAATATATGGGGTGTATGCCTGCACATAAATGTTGCTTACTCAGGTAATAGTGCTATGACTGTGTAAAATCTGTGATGATTTGCAATTTTAATAAAACTAGCTGTTTATCTAGTAACAATAGAAAGCCAGTTATTATTGGTATAACTTCAGGTTACAAATCAGTGCTACATGAATAATGAACAGTAATGACACATCCAGCATCCTGGCAATGAATCAGGCCCACTGGTGTGTGAAGGGAATTCTAATAGAAATTCATGTCTCACACACACAAAGAGAGAGAGCTACATGGACTGAGAGACAGGGGGATGATGGAATTCTCTGCGTGATTAAATGAACATTAAACTAGAAGACGAAAAAGCTTGCATTCCCCAATGGACCTGTCCAGTAATATGTAACACACGAGAATGCCGGGGGGGGGGGGGGGGAGCTTGCAGAAATAGCAGCCACTGTCTCCATCCAAGCCATAATTTGGCCACCAAAGGTATTTCCTTGATGATTGGCATGAGGGGGCAATACAAGTTCAATGCTTTGTACATGGGTAAGGTCTGTGGAAATGGCATCTTCCTCATTACTGCAAACACGTTCTACAAGGTATAGATTTAATAGGAATTGATGCTCAGAAAATTATCAGATAGTGCAATTACAATATAATGCTGTTATACTCAGGGTATAGCTGCAATTCTCAAATGTCTTATTCTACAGCCATATCAGTCAAATCAGTAGAACCAGTCTGGCTGAAGTGTTTTTGAGGACTGCATCCTAGACTGGCTGAAGTGTTTTTGAGGACTGCATCTTATACAGGTAATCCTACCACTCCAGGGCTGACTAGAACACAAGGTACTTTTAATGTAGGGATAACCGGTTGATCCTGCCTTCTGAATGTATCGTGCCATAATTCCTGCCACATGGAATAATCAGAATTTGGTGGTATTAATGTTTGGATAGCATGATTTACAGATCTATTTCCAGGGTTATTAATTCCATACTGGAGCAGGATCTGTCTTCAGGAAACAAGAGATGAATGTATATAAAATGCCAGACATATTAGTTTGACATATGATCCAAGCTGACCTGAGTTAAATGTTTGACTTCTGCCCCAGTTAACTCTGTTTTACAATTCTAGTGTTGTAGTTTGGATCCATTTGATTGCCTTGCACTTTGGAACCTCTTACCAGGTTGTACAATTTGTATCTAGAAGGCAAATTCCATTTTATTACGTCTTCCTGAACTTTGCAGTTATTTGGAGGGAATCAGGCTTTGCACAGACTTATTTCATTCTTATTTTCTTGCCATTATCACAAGAGAATCCAGTCCTTAGCTGTGCTAGTGTATTTTAGAAAGAGGAACCAAGATTACAGACTATATTTGGATGTCTTTAGTATACCTCATATAATGAACCAATGACAGTTCTGTAGGTGAAAACATTCAGGTTCAGAAACTGCTTTGATTTCAGGTCTTTAAGAGACCAGCACTGGCCCGGACCTGCAAGCTCAATCTCATTAGATCTCAGAAGCTAAGCAGGGCCAACGCTGGCAAGTATTTGGATGGTATTCCAGAGAATACCAGGGCCGAGAGGCCAGAGGCAGGCTATCAAGCCATGACTTCCAGGCATGGGTGCACATGCATGTGCGCACATGTGCGTACACACACAAAGAGACCTGCATTAAAAATCTTACAAACACATGTGAGAGATATCCTTAGAACTGTAATAACTCTAGTTCACCAATAATTCTCAGCCCTGAGTAAGTAGTTTTGTTTAGGCTGTTATGGCCCTAAAATGAAGGGCATCATTCTTTATCAAGACATCTTTTGATACGATTAGATTTTCTTCCTTGTAGGTGAAAGGAAAAATCCTCAAATGAGAATGAACTTTAAACAAATGTTAACATTATGATGCACAGGAAAAAAAATAATTTCAGCAAAAAGGACCCAACTCCAAGGATCTGAGAGCACAGCAACTTTACTGGAGTCCACAGTGATACCGCCAGCACTCACCAAATCAACAGGCCAACGCTGCTGTTGTGCCAGCCATATACGGAATAGGCCACCTCCACATCATCCTGCCCCCACCCATCAGAAGTTAGAGGTCTGGATCCCCTTTTGTAAACAAACCCCCAGTAAATGAGTCGGATTCGACTGGCTTTCGAGCAAGGGAAACCTTTACCTTTACCTAAATGCTGTAAATCACCTCATAACAGGTGGACACAGCGTAGGAAGCATGGACCCTCCAGATATTCCAGGTTCACCTGAGAAGCTCTCTCATCTAATCTTGCTTTTTAGCTAACAACAGTATGGGCAACAATCCTGGGGCAAAATTTAATTGCTTTAGAGTAAACCTTGCCCCAAATAGTGCATACTTAAGCATCTGAAGAAGGCATTACCAGGAAGTCAGTTTTCTCTCCTTTGTTTGGCAACTTTATCTAGAGCTCTTCCAGGCCTTACTCTCTAAGGATATATGGGTGGGAGGGAGTATCACACAAAATATGTAATCTACACCTGCCAGTCTTATAATAGCCACCCTTCACTATCACCACCACACTTGCCAAATACTATTCATTTTACTGATCATCATTCATACCACACTGTTGCATTAGGTTCTTAAAGCCATGTTCAGGATCTAGGCGGATTTTTCTTCTCTCGGCAGCTAGCGTGTACTCCAGGAAATCTTCTGCAGTAAGAAGTTCTACTGGTTTTAAGTTAACCTAAACAAATATAAAAATCACTACCTAATCCAAGCCCAGAGTGAAATTTTACATTAGCGACCTAATCCAAGCCCAGAGTGAAATTTTACTTTAAACACATTAGCAATGGAAACAATTATTCCTTTTGTAGTTTTTGCACCACAGAAGGCTGTTCAACTGCTGTGGAAAAATAAGTAATTACCAGTGATATTCTGATGCACATTTTCTCACTTTGCGGTATTGCAATTTATTGAAATTTGGCATTGTAAATACTTATTTATTATGTGCAAACAGCTTGGTTTTCTGGAATAAAACAGAAATGTGGTAAAATAGCTGGACCTTAAATAAATTTGGGACACGCATTGAATGTAATGTTGCTGTGAAAATTACTTCCCATTAGTTGGCCTGCTGTCAAATTCCTGTAGTGAAGGCATTTTCTGCATGCTTGCTCACTACACTTCTGCAAGATGCAAAATGGTGCTTACTACCTTACAATAAAATAAGCACACATGAACCAACTGTCTGTCTATTTAAACAGTTAAACTTTGATTTCATCAAACTCCCATTGATTTCAAATGGAAATGCCACTAAGAACGCATATTAATCTAGGATGTGTCACTTGTGGATACTGCTTATAAAGGACAGAAAGTAGGGACTGAAACTGAGTTACAGGTATGAGAAAACCTATTTAAATAGAAAATCTATTTAAATATATTACTTTTGGAAGCAGTCCAAATCTGTCTGTCTTGGCAAACATATTGTTATTGGTCACTGGATGACCATTCCTTTATTAGACTTTAATGGCCCAGCATGGTTTCTTCAACAGACACTAATAGTTAGTAGATGGTTCCCTGATGGCTCTAATTATGTTGACCAATAGCAGCTAAAAGATTTAACAATATTTTATGCCAGCATATGATTTCATGGACTACAACCTACTTCCTCAGATGCAATGAAGCAGGCTCTAGTCTACAAAAACTTATCTCTATATATAATAATTCTCTGTTGGTGGTGGCACGCTGCTGAACATTCCTCATGGCGCCCACAGTCTTTGGTTCAGTGATCTGTCAGTGAGAAGCTGTCCCTATCCACTGGCTACGTTGCCTGAGTCTCGCCTCCAACATTCTAAACAGTTTGCTGTTCCTCTCCCCCCCATAGCCAGTCAGAACACAGAGGTTATTTGCATATGTGGCCTGATTGGCCTTTGCCTCGGAACACAGAGGTCGTTAGAGGCCTTTGCCTCTAACATTCTAAACAGTTTGCTATTGCTGTTCTGAGGTAAAATGTGTTCTGAGGTTCCCTTAAGTGCCTGTTGGAAGAAACCTTTGTTGCCAATCTCCAGGTGAGGGCTGAAGATCACTCAGAATTACAACTGCTTTCCAGATGGCAGAGATCAATTCCCCTGGAGAAAATGGTGGACTCTGTGTCCTTATATCCTGCTGAGATGGCCCCTGTATGACAGACAATGCGATGTAGCAGTCAGGGCTTCAGAGCACGGTAGAGGCTGCAGGTGAGGGGGGAGGTGGAAAGCTGAAGAGTGAGTGGGAAATAAAGGTAGGTTGATGATTGTCTGGGAAGGAGATAGGGTTGCCAACTCCAGGTGGGAAATTCCTGGAGATTTGAGGGATGGAGCCTGGAGAGGGTGAGGTTTCAGGAGGCGTGGGACCTCGGACAGGTACAAAGCCATAGACTCCACCCTCCAAACCAGCCATTTCCTCGCCCAAGGCCGGGGCACTCTCCCAGAGCCTCTTTCTAGATCTCGTTGTATTTATTTCCACAACGGGCCTTATTCCTAGTGTGGGAATAAAACATTGTTAGTCTTTAAGGTGCCATTGGACTCCTCCTTATTTTGGCTGCAACAGAATTATTATTGCCATCAGAAGCTATACAAGGTGACTACTTGCAGCTGAGGAGAGGGACAGATGCATGGAAGACAGAGAAGAAGAAAGGTTTGAGTTTGGAAGAGAATGAGGGAAAAAACAACCCAAAACAAACAGAGACTGCTGTGAGTTGGCTGAAGCACGGTGCAGGGGTAGGCTCTCTCTGGAAGTTTGATGTGGAGTAGTAAATCTGCTGT